GCCCAAGTGCTTGGGCCCTGTACCCGCATGGGAGACCAGGAAGAAGCACCTGGCTCCTGGCTTCAGATTGGCCCAACTGCAGCGCACCAGCCGTGGTGGCCATTTGGGGGGTGAACCAATGGAAGGAAGACCTTTCTCTCTGTCTCTCTCTCTCACTGTCTATAATTCTCTCTCTGTCTCTCTGTCTCACTGTCTAACTCTGCCTGGCAAAAAAAAAAAAAATTATTTATTTATTTGAAAGGCACAGTTACAGAGAGGTAGAGACAGAAAGAGGTCTTTCATCTTCTGGTTCACTCCCCAAGTGGCCACAATGTCCAGAGCTGGGCCAATCTGAAGCCAGGAGCTAGGAGCTTCTTTTGGGTCTCCCACGTGAGTTCAGGGGCCCAAGGACCTGGGCCATCCTCCACTGCTCTCCCAGGCCATAGCAGAGATCTGAATTGGAAGTGGAGCAGCCGGGACCCAAACTGGTGCCCACATGGGATGCTGGCACTGCAGGTGGAGGCCTCATCTGCCACACCAGACCCCAAGTTTTTAATTTTGATGAAATTCTTTTTTGGTAATAAATTATGCTTTTTCTTAAAAAATTTATTTATTTGAAAGGCAGAGTTAAAGAGACAGAGGAAGAGACATCCACTGGTTCACTCTCCAAATGGCCACAATGGCCAGGGTTTGGCTAGCCAGAAGCTAGGAGCCTAGAACTCCATTTGGGTCTCCCACATGGGTGGCAGGGACCCAAGCACTTGAGTCATCCCCTGCTGCTTTCCCAGGTGCATTAGCAGAAAGCTGGTGAAGTAGAGTAGCCAGGACCAGAACTGGCACTCATATGGAATGCTCACATCACAGGTGGCAGCTTAACTGCATAAGCCACATGCCAGCCCCTTGACAATGTATTCTAACAATGGGATTCCTATACACATTCAAGTTGAACAAGCACTGACCTAGGCCAGAGAAACAGGTGTGTGTGTTTTATATTTACTGAATGGGACCACAGCTGTGACTATATAGGCTACTGCTATTACCAAGGTGGCCACAGGAAATCCTGTTATCTAGCCTCAAAAACAAAACAAAACAAAACAAAATCTCTAAATAAGATTCAAGGATTCTTCTTTCTTCTCTAATAAAACACATGTAGGGGTCAGCATTGTGGCATAGAAAGTGGAGCTGCCACCTGCAGTGCTGGCGTCCCATATGCGTGCCTGCTGTTCATGTCCTGGCTGCTCCACTTCCTATCCAGCTGCCTGCTAATGGCCTGAGAAAAGTAATGGAAGATGGCCCAGGTATCTGGGCCCCTGCCACCCACATGGGAGACACAGATAAAGATCCTGGCTCCTGGCTTCAGCCTGTCCCAGCCCTGGACATTGTTGACATCTGGGGAGTGAACCAGCAGAAGGAAAATCTCTCTTCTGTCTTTCCCTCCCTCTCTGTAGCTCTGACTTTCAAATAAATAACTAAACCTTTTTTTTAAAAAGAAAGAAAACACATCTAAATTATCAGAAGTGGAAAATGAACCTATTTAAATAAAAGTCTGTAATTTCTTGGAACATGGTTTCCCAGTCCCAAAAGCTGCCTCTTCTAGTACCCTTCCATTTGTTAATTTTTATTATTAATTTTAAATTTACAAAACAAAAATTGTGAGGTAGGAATACAATGTGTTTCAATATATCTCTCACCCCACTTCCCCATTAACATATATTAGTATATTTGTCACAATTAATAAACCATGCCCAGATTTCTCTACTTTTTAAACTAAACTCCTTTTATCCTTTATATGTTAAATGGTAAAGTTAAAAAAATACTTACTGAAAGCTTTGCTACCTAACAGAAATGACAGTTTTGCTTGGCTGATATTATTTGTTATAATTTTTGAATTATTAAGTAACTATTGGAAGGCATGTACTTATGTTTTACCAAACATATGGGTGAGAAAAAATAGTTGAAAGACATTACTAAAGATACTCAAGAAATGATTTTATTAATAATAAGGATAATTCCAAAAGCATAGTCTACAACCTTCTGAGAAATAAACAATGTACACTATACAAGCTGTGTAGATACTCACCTATCTGGTCAGAAAATGTCATAAGTAATCCTACACACAGCAGAGTTATAATATTTATAATGACATCAAATACAAAAATGACAATAAACAGCAAACTCGTTTTTTAAAAACAAGCACTTAGCTCTTTCTTGAGTTCGGCCTGTGTCTCAGCAACTTGCTTTGGTCTTGTCTCCAGGCTCACTCATGAAAGTTTGGTGGTGGTGGTGGTGGAGTGTCTAAAAGTCTTTTAAGTTGAACCTACACCCTCATATTTGGCTTAGAAAAAAAAAGAAAAACAAAACAAAAACAGAACACCTCCCAGCTGAATACCTTTTTATATAACAGGTTTTATTTATTTTTAAAGATTTATTTATTTGAAAGAGAGAGAGAGGGAGAAAGAATGAATGAGAATGAGTGTGAGGTTATCTAACATCCACTGGTTTACTCCCCAAATGACCACAATAGCTGGCTGGGGCTAAGCCAGGCCAGAACCAGGAGCCAGGAACTCCATTTGTGTCTCCCATGTGGGTGGCAGGGGCCCAAGTACTTGGGCTATTATCTTCTGTCTTCCCAGGCATATTAGCAGGAGTGGAGCACGTGGGACTAGAACCAGCACTCATTTATGGGAAGCTGGCATCATAAGTGGTGGCTTAGCCCTATGTGCCACAACATCAACCCCAGGTGTTTATTTTTAAATTTTTTTGTCTTTATTTTAAACATTTTTATTTATTTATATAGAGGATATATTTCATGCATTTCATATACAGTTTTAAGAGCATGATGATACTTCCTACCCTACCTCCCTTGCTCCCCACCTTCCTCCCTCCTCCTTTCCTTATTTTTAATTTTTATAATGACACACTTTCAATTTACTTTATAATCATAAGCTTAACCCTTCACTAAATAAAGAATTAAACAAGTAGAAAAAACACTGTTTGTCAAGAGTATAGACAAGGGCTATAAAAAATAATCAAATCTCAAAATGTCAATTTTGCACATATACATTACATTTTTTACTGTGTATAGTAGTTACAGAAAGACAACAGATGTTTTCTCTGATTGCTGGTAACTAATATTTTAAAATTTTTACAGGGTCTGCATTAGCAGGAAGCTGGAATGAAGAGCTGCAGCTGGCCATGGAATACAGCCACTCTGGTGGTGGTGGTGGGGAGGGAGTGTCTAAACTGCTAGGCCCAATGTGCATC